TCCCCACACCGTGAGACAATGAGACCGGATGCTCCTTAGCCTCCCCAGGGTGAGCCGAATGCGATCACAGGAATATTGACACCCGAAACTCCCTAGGCCTAAGCATCCATTTGCCCAGTCAAGAATTTCAGTTCTCACAGTTTTTCTGCTCTGCTCCACACATTCCTGAGAATCACCAGGATGTGTCTTACATGTACCAAGAGTGAGCCTGGGCTGCCTCTCACCCTGAGTCTGTGTCGCTGTGGAGGCACCACTCTGCAGCCTTATTCCTCTCTGCAAGCAGGCTGCCACCCACACTGGCTTGGACCTCTGCCCCAGTCAAGGGGGCAGAGCTACGTCACTAGTCTCAGAGTTTCAACAATGCCTGTTGGAAAGGAAAACTCACCTAGTTATTGTATCCTTTGTAACTCACTTAGGAAGGATGCACAGCATCTTAAATATTTTGGGGTTTTGGGATCCAGTATAACAGAACTTTCAGGCCACACAAAGGTTTTTCCCATAGCTTGTTTCATGGTAGGTATCAGGATGCTATTCTTGGAACTGAAGATTAGAACATGCCATCCCCCAATATGCCATTTTCGGGTGAAGGCAATTAAGAAACAGCCAATGCAGGAAGGGCTCTCTGCCCTCCTCCTTTCTGCCTAAAAGCAGTGTATAAATTTTCTGTGAAAAATTTGTCTTTCCAATACTAGGAAGAAGAAAACATTCTTATCACTGGAGATGAGAAGTCAACTCTGACATAAGTCTGCACAAATAAACCTTGTGGAAATAACCCTTATTGTCCATTCATTTCTCCCATATATTTCCTAGTTTTTCCCCCTCAATTTACCACCCATAGAAGCCCAAATTCCTTTTCTTTGTCTAGTCACTTCCCCACAATTTATTGCCCTTTGTTATGATGGTACCATAAGCCCCCAAGTCTCACCACTTCCTTGAGGTTTTCACTTTTTTTTTCTATGAAGGCCCCCTTCCTGTGCCACATACAAATATTAACGTCAAATACAATTTAAATGATTTTCCATTATTAATCTGTCTTTTGTCAGCTTAATTCATAGATCTCAGTCATGACATTAAGAGGGCAGAGAAAAAGTTGTGTCCTCCCTCACTATTATCAAGCCCTACTAAAGAATATGGCCTCCCATGCAGGATTCCTTCTTTCTAGGACTCACTGACCCTCTCCTTCTTTTTAATTCAATTTTTAATTTTGAGTAGTTTTAGATTCACATGCAATTGTGAAGAATAACACAGAGAGATTTTTGTGCCCCTTACCCAGTTTCCCCCAATGGCAATATCTTGCAACTAAGTATATAACAACTATACTTGCAACTATAGTATAACATGGCAACTAAGATATTGACATTGATACAGTTGAGATACAGAACATTTCCATCATAACCAGGGTCCCTCATGTTGTCTCTTATTCCCACACCTGATTCCCTTCTCCCTTCCTCCTCCCTAACCTCTGACAATGAACCTGTTCTCCATTTTTATAGTTTTAGCATTTAAAAATTATTTATTTATTTTTATTTCAATAGATGTTTAGTTTTATCATTTTAAGATGATCCCTGAGGCTACTGTGGGACAATGGATTGCAGGGGGTGGGAGTGGAATGTGGACTCCAGGGAGAGGGATCCTGCTACCTTCAGAGCGAGGACCTGCCGGTAGCTTGGGCTGCCCCTGTTGACTTCTCCTTCCAGCCCACTCACTTAAGGTGAGAAGCAGAGAACAAAACATCCCGTTCAATCTTCCCATCATGGGAGTCCTTCTCACTGTGCCTCCTCCTGCTTCAGTGAAGCCAGCTGAGATGGAGGGAAGACCCTCCTGTTCACAGGCACCCAAAGCCCCTGCTTTCCTTTTTTTTTTTTTTTTTTTTATTATTATGCTTTCAATGTTCTAGGGTAATGCCTGACCCTCTTTTAATCTGATCTTCCATTCAGACTTCCCTCCCAGGCATTGTGGAGTTGATCTGCAAGTTACTTTCCACACAGTATTTCTGAAAGGATGGCTTCATTCTTATAAAGTGATGTCAGACTTTAGAGTGCATTTATTTTAGAGGTGTTGGTCAAGACCAAATGCTGCCAGGGAGTCCCACCTAGAGCTCAGACTCATGTCCTCCAATCAGGAATTGATTTGTCAATGGCATTTTGCAAAGCTCTTTTTTTTTTTTTTTTTTTTTTGAGACAGAGTGTTGCTCTTTGCCCAGGCTGGAGTGCAGTGGTGCCATCTTGGCTCACTGTACCTCCACCTCCTGGGTTCAAGCGATTTCCCTGCCTCAGCTGGGACTACAGCATATGCCACCATGCCGTAATTTTCTGATTTAATACAGACGGGGGTTCACCATGTTAGCGAGGATGGTCTCGATCTCCTGACCTCGTGATCCACCAGCCTCCGCCTCCCAAAGTGCTGGGATTACAGGCGTGAGCCACCGCACCCGACCCACAAAGCTCTTTCTTAACAAAAGCTGAGACTGGTCTCAGAGAATGCTCCTGCAACAGCAAGAAGAGAAAAATTCATCCCTGGTTCAAGGACCACACAGGCAGGGATCAAGGTGGAAAGAGACGGCTGATGGAGAGAATGTCATAGAGACTCATGTTTAACTCATTCATGTCCTCAGATTGAACAGTGCTTTGTTGTTGGGGGCCAAATGCCTCAGGTCTCCAGGATGTGCAGTTCAGATGCCCAACACTTTCCAGAAGGTAATGAAAAGTCTCTGCTTCAATATCGAGGGTGGTGGTTGTACTACTGAGCGCTATACACTTAAGAGCCTCCAACACACGATTGTGTGTGTCCCACAATAAAGCACTTGCTGCAATCTTCAACCCCAGACTTGGCTTGAAGAGGAAGATCCCTTCTGATGGTGAGGAGGAGGATGCCGAACCATCCAAGGTCAAGGTGGAGACCCTGCATAAGCTGTGCTAGTCAATACAGGCAGGACTCCTTGCACCTCAGAGAACTATCTGGTTGGGACTCTATAGGCCATAAGTTTAGAGAAGGTACTGCCCAAACCCAAGTGGATCATTTCTTGCACAAAATTTGAAGACCCAATGAAGTGAAAACACCTCTCAATTTGCTCTGGTTGTGGGAAAGAGGTGTCTCCTATTAGCATATAGCAATGGTATGCCTAGCAATTCAGATGCTAGTTTGCCTGGGAGCAGTCAGGAAGCATGAACAGGAAGCAGAAGAGTCACCCCGTTCCCTTGAATAAATGGGCTCTGATGACCCTGGAGGATGGAACTCTTAAGGGGAAAAAAATGGAGCAATCAGACTGGGCCCCAGATGTCAGCAGTGAGAGAGATGATGAGGCCAGGTAAGGTCTAATATAGCACCCGACAACCTCTCTCATTCCTGATAAAAAGATGGTAAGGGCTCCTTTGACTCTCAGCTTATTAAGATTAGGCTACATCTGACAGGCTATTCAGAGGTGAGATTCTGGGAATCTGAGTCTGGAAAAAACATTACTGGAAACTAGGATCAGAGAAGAAGCTGTCCCCTCTGGTCATCCTCAGCCTTCATTCATGCTGCCACCATAGAGCGGGTCATATAGACTCGGAGCATGACATCCTTAATGTTACAGCTTGTCTGGGGTCACCGTATGGTGAGAAAAGGAGCCAGAACTGGAGAGCAGAGGCCTTGGAGAGGACACAGGGAGAGATGTTGGTTAACATTCAATAAGGAGGCTGCCCAATCCATACTTAAGCATGTGAAGCCTGGCATCACCTGATATATAGAAATATGACCCTGGGGACAGAGTTTTGAGGCACAGCATAGCAAAAAACCATGTGTGTTTACCTCCAAGAAGAAAAGTTTAAGTGAAGTTGGTAGAGACTTTTGCAGGTACTGTGAATAATACACTAGGGAGAAAGAGAAATAAACATTCTCTGCACTCTCTTGGAGACTATATTCTTCCAGACGCTTGGTTGCAAGTAATAACAACCCAGACCATCTTAAGAGGAAAAATAATAATGTATTAGCTCATAGAACTGAAAGCACAGGAATAAGTGCCTGTTTCAGGCAAAATTAGATCCAAGGCCTCCAACAATGTTTTCTGGAAATTGTTGCTCTGATTCTGCTTTCCTCTTGATGTGATTTGGATGTGTGTCACTGCCCAAATCTCATGTTGAATTATAATCCCCAATGTTAGCAGTAGGGCCTGGTGGGAAGTGATTTAAATCATGGCGACAAATTTCTCATGAATTGTTTGGCACAGTCCCCTTGGTGCTGTCCTCAAAATAGTGAGCAAGTTCTCAAGAGATCTGGTCATTTAAAAGTGTGTGAAACTGAGACAGCCAAGGGGTCCCCAGAGAAACTCCAAATGGCCTGCGCACTAGGAGGGGTGCACACTGGGGTGGAGCCTCAGGAAGTTCGTGCTGTTTGCAGCCAGAAGGAGCCTGGCCCCTCCTCTTCCTGGGTGGAACGTGGGATTCAGTCTGCGAGGCAGGAAGCACACTAGCAGGATTCTGGCTTTGTAGAAGGTCCCTGTTGGGCTTTTTTTCCCTTTTGCCCAATAATTTCCATTTATTCTCACCCTTCAAAGTGTCTGCATGATCGAGACCATCCTGGCTAACACGGTGAAACCCCGCCTCTACTAAAAAAACACAAAAAACTAGCCGGGCGAGGTGGCGGGCACCTGTGGTCCCAGCTACTCCGTAGGCTGAGACAGGAGAATGGCGTAAACCCGGGAGGCGGAGCTTGCAGTGAGCTGAGATCCGGTCACTGCACTCCAGCCTGGGCGGCAGAGCCAGACTCAGTCTCAAAAAAAAAAAAGTGTCTGCATGCCTGATCTCTCATGGCCACGTGACAAGAACCCAGCTCTTAGCTGAACTAAAGGAAAAGTCCTACAACGAAACCTCCCTCCCGACTCTCCATCTCTCTTCCTCGTGCTCCAACTATGAGAGACGCCTGCTCTCCTTTCACCTTCCCCCAAGATTGGAAGCTTTCTGAGATTTCCCCAGAAGCTGATGCTGGTGCTATGCTTCCTGTGCAGCCTGAAGAACCATGAGCCAATTAAACCTCTTTTCTTATAAATTATCCAGGTTTAGGTATTTATTTATAGCAATGTGAGAATGAACTAATGTGCTTCTCTATAAGCTTCATTTTTCAGGCAGGCTCCCTCACCCCTTCTGGAGAACATCACCTACTCTAGGCTTACAGTCTACAGTTTAAATCCCAGGGGAAAAAAAACAAGACTCTTTTTCAATATTTCCAGCAAAAGTCCAGGCATTGATGCCAATTGGTGTAGCCTGGTCATGTGCCCATCACTGGTTGGGCCAATCACTGTGCCTAGAAGGACGTGGTCTGATACATTAAGCCCACAGCATGACCTCGCCTCTGACACTTGTAGGAGGGACCAGAGCTCCTCCTTATAGGACTGAATTGAGAGTGGAAGGACTTAGCTCTCCAGAGGAAAACAGGTGCACTGTTACTCAAAGAGGAAGTGTTGGGAAGGCGAACCAAGTGTTCACTCACCCAGCGGCCGAGGAAGCCACTTCTGCCATAAAATTGCAATACGGGTAAATGCTGGAGCTCTGAACACAGGCAGCGGTGGGCTTGAGTCCTCATGACTTATTAGTATGAGCTCAGTGAATGATTTCACTCCTCTAGGCCTCAGGTTTCTCGCTGTAAAGTGAGGGTACTGCCTTCTTTGTGGATATACTGGGAGAGTGAAATGAAACAATATTAAATATTCAATGCTAAATACTAATAGTACCTTTTCCCAACCTCCCCTAGCACCTTCAGCTTAGACTAAACTGAAAGAAATTTTGTCTGCTTTCTTCATGACTATTTCCCCATTCTTCATAGAAAGTAGGCACCCTGGTATACAGTTGCCATAGTGTCAACATTTGTTGAATAAATGAATGAATGATGACAAAATTAATAAATTTCTGGGGAATTTCTACTTTTGAAATATCAGCTCCCAAGCCCTAGCAAACAGAATGAATTATCCCCTCCTGTGTGTCTGCTGGTATTTTTAATTAGCTCCTCTTCCAGCTCTTATCAGCCAGAATGTGAACCGGGACTATGTGTGACTCAACTCAAGATCCTACTGCCTGGCACGCAGCACAGTTTACGTTGCTGAATAAAAAAGATCACCTAGTCCAAACACCTTACCTTACAGATGTTGTAACAGAGCCCCAGAGAGGTTAAAGAATTTGCCAAAAGCCCCACAGCTTACCAAGTGAGCCATTACTTCTAGTCCACTATTTTTTCTACTTCATACTCAGGACTCTGTTTTTTTCATGCTGCCATGAGCAATGCACGCTGCCAAGAATGAAGCGAAGTTCTTGGTCCTCTGGAAAGGAAGGAGCATCTTCAGTATGAAAAGTCATCATCTGTAAAGAGTGGCATCAGGTACCAAATGCAAGTGTAAGGGTCATTCACTTGCTTCATACCACATATAAACAGTTTTTAGTCTCAACATTTTTATTTTTATTTTTGTTTTTGCAACCTTTGCTTCTTTCCAATAATTCAGGCAAAGCTCAGTCATTCCTATCCATCCTCCCCACACATGCATCCCCAATTCCCAACTATTGTCGGAGGAGGCCAACAGTCCTTATTTGGGCTGGAGACTGAATGCTAAGCCCACAGCAATGGGTTGTTAACCTCCTCACACTATATCCCTTTTTCTATCTGAAGGAAGAGGTCCCAGCAGGTACTAAGTTAGCATCTCCCCTTCCCTGACTGCTCCTAAACCCAATTTCCCAAAGTCCATGTGCCCTGTCCAACTAAATTCTATTCAGATGGGATCCACCAGAAACACATTCAAGATTGTTTATGCCGTTTTCCTTATTGGAGACTATGAAAAGACATTTATTCATTTACTAATTCGACAAATATTTTAGCAGCTACCTGTACTATGTGCCAGACACTGAGTGTACCAGAACAAATACATGAATCATGAAGAATGTATGCAGTGGCTAAAGCAACTATGTAATCCCTTAATAGTTTTTGTATCAAAATCCCCAAAGCAGAGCTTTCTCATTCACCAACCTCTCCCCGTACCCCTCCCCCACAAACACCAATATTTAACTCAAAGAAATGTTTTACAGAGGAGGTCGTTAATAGCTTTTTAATTAAGAGGAAAGGTTCTTTCAAGGTAAGCTGAATCTTTTGGCTTGCAAAAAGGTGTTCTTTTTATTATAATAAAAAAAAAACAGCAGGTAGTTCTCTCATATGGATAGAAAGAAGGTTGATGTTGATGTTGATGTATTCACTGCTTCCTTAATACCAGGAGGAAGGGCTGAATCTCAATTCAAAGCACATGGAATGTTTTGATGTGAGAAGAAAGCAAAACATGTAAGACTCCATCAAAAATCCCGTTTGGAGGAATTCAGAAGAGCAAGACATTTCTCCAAGATTCGGGTGCACAGCTAATAGATCTGAATGAATTAACTCGGCTGCGCATAAACTATTTTTCTTTTGTGTGTGTGTGTGTGTTCAGAAGTTTTACTTGTGATAGCAAAAATTGAAAACAACTCAACTTTTCATCAACAGATAAACATGAAAACACATTACGATATATGCATACAATAAATTCCACTCTACAATAAAAAAGAATACATTTGGTACATTCTACTACATGAATGAATCTCAAAAGAATTATTCTGAGAAAATATTTCAGATTTAAAAAATAGTATCACACTGCGTGAACAATTTCATGTATTTAAATTCTACAAGGAGACACAAAGCAGTAGCGTGATTGTCGGGAGAAGAAGGAGGTATTACAAAGGGACATGTGAAAACGTTTTGGAGTGGTGCATATATATAATGCAATGAATATGGTGATTATGATGAGTATGTATGCACACTGAAACTTACCAAAGTATATATTTTCAGTGTGCAGTTTATTGTATGTCAATTATACCTCAACAAAACTGCTAAAATTATTTTGTATTGTGACAACTATTAAACATTAATTATAGCATCCTTTAATCTCTTACTAAATTTTAATGGTTTTAGGTAATAATAGTACACACTTTTCAATTGAATAAATATCGTTAAAGAAGAAAATAAATAAGTATAAAACAAATTAATACATCTTTTGACCCAGAAAGTTTAGAAACCTGATGGAAATCAAGGCAAGTTTTTTTTTCTAACTTTTATTTCAGGTTTGGGGGTACCTGTGAAGGTTTGTTACACAGATAAACATGTGTCATGGGGTAATTTTTCTTCCTCTCTTATTCATAATGAATTCATTCATTTTGAAAATTTAATGACCCTAACTTAGTAGTGTTAAGCCAGGCTTCTCGAATGTTCCCTAGTATTCCAAAGCTCCTTCCTTGCTAACTGTAAAAAAGTTTCCTTTTCAATTTATAAAAAGAGACATCTTGGCTTCTCATTTCTGCAAATATGTAATTTTCGAGTGAGGAAACTGAGACTCAGAGTGATATTGCTTAAGAGTACACAGCTAATTAGCTCTAGATCCAAGACCCAAACCTCTTAACTACAAATTGAGAATTACACTTAAAGAAGTCCATTCGATAACTGTATTCCTTGAAATTTACATAATAGTCTAACCAATTATTAAGGGTCTAGTATGTACTAGGTACTTTACATATTTTTTTCGTTGAATCCTCAAGTAAAACCTCCAAGATAGGGGTCATTAATGGATGCTGTTGAAGTGTTTAAATGATACCATTATATAGCACTTAGGGTGTACTGAATATTTCCTACATATTATCTCCAATTTTCACAAAAACCCTGCAAAGTATCATCAACCCTGTTTTATAGATAAGAGACCCTGGGTCTCTGAGGGATAAAGCAACTTGCTAAGCTCACGCAGCTAGGACATGAGTAGGGCTAGATCCAGATCTCGAAGCGTGTGTGCTACCCCTGAAATGCTGCCCATGTAGGCAGCCATAGACCTATCTCAGCCCAAATAAATAGCATCAAAGAGTCTTTCTCTCAGCAGGCCTATTGTATACCATAGAAACACTCCCCAGCATGAGGTAGCTAGCTACAGTGATGGTGCAACTGATAAGGTAGGTGACCCTTCCAGGCAGGGCCGAGCTCTCAGCATAGTAGTGCCATGTAAGGGGACCTTGCATTATGGTTCTGTCTGGGCCTTGGCTTGTCAGAGTCTGGAATTTTACCCTAACATTTCCTTTAGGGGTGGCTGGTATCCTTAAAATTTTTTTATTTTAGTTGTATCACAAAATAACAATCATAGAATGATTATAACAATGATCATACTGACAACTACCATTTGTTGAGTCCTATGTCATATGATGTGCTTTTTGTACTTTGTCTCTAGTTACTATGGAGATTGACTTACCTACCTAAAATGAAGCCCATTTCTCTTTCAGGATGCATCCTCCTGTTGAACTGTGGTGTTTAAGTGATTTTTTTCAGAACTGTTGCAGACAGAGGTGGGTTCCTGTCTCCTTCTACAATTACTTGCTGAATATCCTTGAGTGAGGGTTAACTGCCATAAAAATAACTTGCCAAAAGTTAATTTTCCTTATACGTAAGTGATTGTTTTAGTCTGTTCAAGCTGCTATAACAAAATGCCATAGGCAGAGATTAGTTACTCATGGTCCTAGAGGCTGGAAGTACAAAGTCAAGGCACTGGTAGATTTGGAGTCTGGTGAGGGTCTGCTTCCTGGATCATAGATGGCTGTCTTTTTCTGGGTCTTCACATGATAAAGGGGGTGAGGAATCTTTCTGGGGTCTCTTTTATAAGGTTGCTTGCACTTTTAAATGAGGGTCCCACATTGTTTCCAAGTGTACAAAAATAGCAGAAAAGCTAAAATCAAAATGTTGGACCAAGATTAGATACAGGAAAAGATGTAGACAGGATATAAAAACAAGTATGTAGAGTCATGAATGGCTCAAAGTCAGACACAACACCATCACAAATAACAGTCTAAACACTGGTCATTTCTGGGTTGTCTTCCGCAGATTAATCTCACCCATTGCATACAGATGCTTCCGTTTTATCTTAACATTTCGAAGTGATTCATTTTATTTTAAGGACCTATGTGCCATTCGTCTTCTTCCACAGCTGCACCAACATACACACACACTCGAACATTAGTCTCATCCAAAAATTATATACACAAACAGACTGAAGCTGGGGATGCAGTCAGTCAGCCAGAAGTTGTTTGGTAAATTATCTATTCATTTGGAAGAAAAGTAAAGTTAGATCCCTATCTCAAGCTACTGAATAAACAAAATTAAAACTCCAAAATATAAACATTAAAAAAAAAACTATAAACATACCAGAGATGATACTTCAAGTTAGAGCAGCCGAAAAAGGTGGACAAATCCTCTCCCCTAAAAGTAAAAAGTTGTTTTGCTCACTTCCGCAGCACATGAACTAAAATTGGAACGATACAGAGAAGATCAGCATGGCCCCTGCACAAAGATGACACACAAATTCATGAAGTGTTTCATTTTAAAAATAAGTATAAAACTGTTTAAACAAGCATTTTAGGACTGGAAATCAACCAAAAGCAAATAATAAACTAAAAAGGGTATATTCATGAAATCTGCCCAAATGTCATATAAGAACAGCAGAAGTCTGAACTCACTGATTATTTCCTCCTGTCATCTCACATCTATAGATATAGATAGACCAGTAGAAATTATCATTTCTGCAGCCAGGCGAGGTGGCTCATGTCTGTAATCCCTGCAGTTTGGGAGGTCAAAGTGGGTGGATCACTTGAGGTCAGGAGTTCGAGACCAGCCTGGCCAACATG